CGGCGACGGAAAGAGCCAGCAGCAGCTGCTGGAGGAGGAAGAGGCCATCATGCGCTGTGAGAAGCAAAATGGCCACCCCGAGAAGCTGGCCTTCCTCACTCGAGGCCCCCTGGGCTACTCCGCACACTATGACGAGCCAGCGGGCTATTCCGGTGCCAGGACTGCAGCTCCGCCAACCTCAAGGCTGTGGCCTCAATGATCGGGGCCATGATCATCTTCCCCTGCTTTGTGTTGCAGTGCCCCCGGGGCCAGGACTGCAGCTCCGCCAACCTCAAGGCTGTGGCCTCAATGATCGGGGCCATGATCATCTTCCCCTGCTTTGTGTACGGGGCCTATATCTTCCTGCCCTTCGATGCCCCCATGATGCCAACCATGAGCGCCCGGCTGGTCTACACCCTTCGCTGCGGAGTGTTCGCCACCTTCCCCATCATCCTAGGTGAGCAGAGACGGGCGAGGTGTTCCCCTCTCCTCCTGGCCTCACAGCGCCTCAGGCAGGTGGTTCTGGCTCTGAGAGGCAGAGCAGCTGGCTGGGGAGAGGGCAACTCACTGCCCTGACCTGTGGGGAGCTGCAAGGCCCTCTACACCCCGGAAGAGCTGGCTTGTGGTTCTCCCAGGTCAGGAGTGACTGACTGCCATTCCCATCCGATGGCTGCCTAGTGGCTGACATGAAACAAGTTGGGTGGGTCTCAGCTCAGGGTGTAGTGACCACATCCCAAAACATGACCATCACTAACTGATTCCCTGGTCGGCAGACTCAGCTGAGAGGCCAAGAACTGCCTAGGCCCGTGTTTCTCAACCAGTGGTACGAGTACCCTTCGGAGTATTCGAGAGAAGGGGTACATCAACAAAACTGAAATTTGGAGAAAACTGAATTTTTGTTTTAAGTTTTACAGTGCTTTATTATTTTTGTACTTTTTACACCCAAAAATTTCATTGTCCGCCCGGCAATTTTTTAAGTTGTTTAAAAAAATGTGTTGCAATGGTAGAAAAAAATGATGTGTGTCTGAAAACTGTAGGTACTGGGGGTACTTACAATTTTTTTAAAGGGGTTCTTTATAAAAAAAGGTTGAGAAACACTGGCCTAGGCCATGGAGGATCAGAGCCCCAGCACCAATGTTCCCTCTATTTTTATCCATCCATGTGTGGAATAAATTTTGTTACATGCGCCGAGGCATTTGTGGTTATGCACTACCGGTAGAAACACATGCTTTCAGCTGTGGGCACTCTGCTAATCAGCTGGGCGGCATTTGAATCTCTACTGGGTGGCCACCCAAGCACACAGATTACAGGGAACATGCCCAGCACTCCTTCCATGTATGTCTGCTGGGAGAGGGAGGAAGGATGATGGGGAAAGATTATTTGCTGATTCCCTATTCTGTTCATTCCCTCTGGGGCACCTGATATTGGCCAGTGTCGGAAGACAGGATCCTGGGCTAGATGGACCTTTGGTCTAATCCAGTATGGCCATTCTTATGAGCCAATGATTAAATTGCTAACTGGTAATCCAGGTTCCATTCCCTGTTGACTTGGACAAGTCACTGATTTCTGTTGTGCCTCAGTTTCCCATCTACACAGTGGGGATACCAGCACTGCCCTCCCTCATGGGAGGAGGGTGGTGAAAATAAATACATCAAAGACAGTCAGGCACCCATTGCTAGTCCAACACTAAGGCCAGGTCTAGATTTAAAATTTAGGTCTAGCGACATCACTTACATGGGGGGGGGTGGGGGGCAGGTTTCACATTCCTGAGTGATGTAGCTATGCTGATCTAATGCCCAGGCTAGATGCTGCTAAGTTGACAGAAGGATTCTTCCATAAACTTAGTTCCTGCCTCTCGGAAAGGTGAACTAACTTCCATCGACATCTACATTATGCAGCTACCATCACATGGCTGTAGCACTATTTCACCTAGAGATGGGATGGGAAACCTTTTTTGGGCCGCTGATTCACAGAAAAATCAGATGGGGGCTGCACACGGCCCCCAACTGAGAAGGAGAAAGACACTCCCCACGTTCCCCTCGCACACCAGAGCCTAGTGGGGCCCAGGTTAGTAGGTTTTGTATCACCAGACCTGCTGGGAGATAGCTGGGTGAAAGGGACAGGAGTATCGGCACAGGCTCCCCAGCGCTGGAGGGAGTCCCGAGCTTAGGGGTCCAGATCCAGGCAAGCCAGGGGTTAGATCTGGCCCCCGAGCCTTAGGCTCCCCACCCCTGGCCTAGAGGGTACATGTAGCCTAGTGCTTTGTGTCATTATGCCCCCAGCCCTGGATTCCACCCATTGCACCTGGTGTTCCACCGCTCCCCCCCCCCTCAGTTTTCTCTCTCCAATCCCGCCAGGTCTGATCGTGTACGGGATCTCTCGCCTCTGCTTCTCCTCGGTGCAGCCCTTCGGAGAGCTGCGCCGGGAGGTGGAAATCCACCGGCGCTACGTCTCCCAGTCCATCTACCTCTTCATCCTCTACTTCTTCAACATCGCCGTGCTGGCCACCTACCTGCCACAGGAAGCCCTGAAGCTCATCCCATTGCTCACGGGACTGTTCGCCATCTCCCGGTAAGCTCCCTGGGGCGTAAGACCCTTCGCCCGGCGACGTTTAAATGAACCACGTGCCAAGAGCTGAGAACAAGGGGTGTAAACCCAGAGCAGAGCTAGCATCATGACAAGGTGGCAGGTTCTTTGGTCCTATTAATTTAGTGCTGGTGGAACATATTGGCATGCCTGGAGCGGGGACAGGAGAGTCTGGGTCCAGTCAAAGTTTAGCTGGGACTCAGGGATTAATACCACTTGTCTGGCACCTTTAAAACCACCAGCTGTCCAGCACAGTGATTTTAATTCTCCTCCAAAGATGATGCTTCCAGCAGCACAGCGCCCCCTAGTGCTGGGGGATTGGAACCCATGCTGACTCAGAGGGGAGTGCGCCCCCTGCTGGATCTCCCCCTTGCTCATTGAAGGTCACACCATGCTAAGAAATAGGGTCAGCACAGCGCCTCCTAGTGCTGGGAGTATTGGCACCCATGCTGACTCAGAGGGGAGTGCGCCCCCTGCTGGGTCGCCCCTGCTCAATGCAGGATAGCACCAAGCTAAAGAAAAGGAGTCAGTACGACACCCCATAACTTCATGCCTGGATACTAGAATCACTGTAGGGAGAGGGTGGGATCAATATTAGTGCTTAATTGGTGCCCTGGCACCTATTCATTGCAAATTAAGCACTGACGCAAAAGAGAATTTCCCTGAGTGCAGGACAGCATCCCCTACTGCAGGGCCACTCAACTTTGGAAGCCCACAATGATACTCACAGCATATTCCAAGGGATGCAACTTCAGTGTGGTTGCATATACATGCAAATATATATGCAAATATATGCAAACAGCTTCTTTCACACTGACGGGCATGTATACAAAGATTAAGGCTAGACTATACAACACACAGGCCCCATTTAAGTCAGTTCTGCTGATATTAAGAAAATGCAATATTGACCCGATTTCAGCACTTTTAATGTGCAACGATAGTCCAGGAATTTAACCACTAAAACACATCTCAATAGAAGACCATTGTATTGACTCACTGTGTGGTGCATGTTCCCAGTGGAGGCCATGTTCAAAGGATACCACCTGTGGGGGGCGTGTTGAGCCCCGCATTAACCCAAAATGCACCACAGGCCACATGTGGCCCATGGGCCACGTGTTGAGTAGCCCTGTCCTAGTGCCACGCTGGTGTATGGATGGATGCAAAGGGAAGAACACCCCTTAGCTCAGGGTGGGCAAAATTAGGTCCATGGGCTAGATTTGGTGCATCAAACGTTTTTCCCCAGCCTGCCATGACCGCCCAAGCCGGGGTCAGGGAAAAATGTCCCACTTCTCCCGGAAGTGCCACGGCTGGAGGCTGCTGGCAAGCGTGTCTCTGTGCACCCCTGAGGAGGAGGGGGCCAGTGTGTCTCTGCATGCTGCCCCCGAGTCCAGTCCCATCCTCACAGCTCCCATTGGCGCTGCGGGGGCAGTACTTGCAGGGGCAGGCAGTGTGCATAGACCCACTGCCCCCCTTCCTCTAAGGGGTGCACAGAGACATGCTTGCCAGCAGCAACCGGCAGCTTTGGGCAGCATGAGGCCACCAGGGCATGCAGGCAGCCTGCCTGCTTGAGTGCCCTGCTGTGCTGCCAGCCGAGAGACACCTAAGCATCTCCCAGCCAGAGTGTGCATTTGGGCACCCCCCCCCCAACACATCCTCTGCCCCAGGTCAGAACCCCTTCCTGCACCAAAGCTCCCTCCCAATCCTACACCTCCTCCAACACCCCTGCCTCAGGTCAGAACCCCCTCCTGTGCTCAAGCTCCCTCCCAGACCCTGTACCTCTCTACTCCACTCCCCCCCCCCTGCACTCCAATCCCTACCCAGAGCTCCCGCCTGCTCCCAAATTCCATCCCCTCCATTAATATAATAGAAAAGTGCAGCCTGGGACCACTTGCGAAAATTCTTGGAATGACCCTCCTGCAAAACTAATTGCCTGCCCTTGCCCTAGTGAATAGGCCACAAAATTCCCTGCAGCACCCTGGGTTTCCATCCTGCCAGCTGGGAGTCTGGGCAGCTGAGGGGTGGCTGCCCATGAGTTGCACAAAGCCGAGTCTCAGAGCGTTATACCAGCCACGTGACTGCAATGGGCACCCAATTCCTGCAGTATCCACCAGCCCTGCCATCATGCGGCTTGCTCCAGTCCTTGAGAAACTGACTCCCCCCCGCAACCCCATGCCTCTTCTCTTCCCCAGGCTACTGTACTGGCTGGCCTATGCCATGGGTCGCTCTTTCCGTGGTTTTGGCTTCGGCCTGACCTTCCTGCCCCTGCTGACCATGCTCCTGTGGAACCTCTACAGCATGTTCATTGTGGCGCCCGAGAACATGTTTGCCACAGCCAACGGCAGGCAGGACGCCCCGTCGGAGCAGCAGAACCAGGCTGCGGCGCCCAAGCCGAGATACTGGGGGTAAAGGACGGGACAAGGAGCTCTGGTGCTCGGAAGCAGGGAGGTGGGTGTGTTGGCGATGAACAGAGCCGGATGGGGAGCTTGGCTGGGGCACCCACATTTCAGTGCCCCCATGCCCATTGCTGCAGTGCCCAAGGGTCAGTTTCCAGAAGCGCTGGGCAACCCCAGCTCCCGCGCCACCTGGTGCAGACTCTGAATCCAGCTCTAAGCACTGAAGTGAGTGGCCAAATACAGGCATAAGCCCCCCATCCATGCCCAAAAAACACAGGCCCTAGAGTGCCCCCCGCTGGAATCAATCAGACAATTGAATTCCGTCAGCTAACCTGCTCAGCTGGCTTCAAAGGATTCGTTCCCTCTTCCCTTGAACTTGATCCAGACCTCAACTAGCTGTTTATATTCAAATTGTCCTTTCTTCTGACGGCAATGAGGCAGGTGCTCTTGGATAATTAGATCACGGAGCAACGGCTGTCGCAAAGGAGCCTGCAAATTTCAACGAGAAGAAAGTTCCTTGCTAATAAAAGATGACTTAACATTTTCATGGATAACCCTCCAGGTTGGAAGATCTGGCACGTAGTTCGGTCTGAGCCAGGCTAACAAACATGGGGTATGTATATGTATGTAGGTACAGTGCAGTTGTATCAATACAGCTGCCCTTGCACAACTGCAATACACCTGATGAAGATGCTCTGTGCTGATATGAGAGAGCGCTCGGTTAGGGTAACCCCCCCTCCCCTCATGAGTGGCAGAAGCTATGTGGGCAGGAGATGCTCTATCGGCGGGGGGCGGCCTAGGTCAGTGGCCCCATGGGTGTGTCTGTACTACACAGCTTTTAGCAATACAGCCGTGTGCACAGACCACAGATGTTCCTGGACCAGAGACGCTCAACCTGTCCAGGCCTCCCAGCTAGCTTGTAAGTCTGCTATGAAAAACTTACACATATCACTTTGAAATAGCATTAAATATATACATATAAAAATAGGGTGTTTTTACTTTACTTTCGAAAAGGGTCACCTGTACAAAAAGTTTGAGGGCCGCTGCTATAGAGGTACATGGCTTGAGCCCCTAAGGTTCCCCGGTTCAGTCTCACCTGCCGATGCTTCTTTACGCTTGTAAACAGGAATGTGTGCAGAGCAGGGGCACCTAGGTCTCACTGACATGTGCTCTTTCAGATGGTGTATTTATTCTGGCAGGTGCAGCTGTCTCTGAGGCTAACAGCTGCAGTTGCAGGTGGGGGTGTATTTTCCTTTTGGTTGTGAAACGCTACTGGGGAAACAGTGGGTGGAGGACACAGGGGACATGAGGAATCTGGGCAAGTGGAAGAACAAGTTTTATGAGTGGGCAGGGCAGGATGGATTGGTATCGGCTCACTTTATTTTACTCAGCTCTTGGCTGCAATGGGCTTTATTTAATAAAGGCTTTGGCAACCATCATGCTGGGCCTATTCCCTCCTCCCAGACTGTACCCTGGGAATAGGGTGAGCTGTTTGTTGCCCCCAGCGGCGTCACAGAACTTCCCCAGGGGTGTGTGAAAATTGAATCTATCCATGTTTTGTTTGTATATTGGTTCTTTTAATCCGTACAGCAATAGGGCCAAATTAGCCATTGGAACAGCTAACCTGTGGAGGTGGTGAAGGCTCTATCACGTCAAGTCTCTAAATCAGGACTCGATAGCTAAAACCGAGATACTCTAGCTCAGGGGTAGGGAACCTAAGGCCCAGGGCGTGATGTGGCCCTCGGCTTGCCTGGATGCAGCCCCTGAAGCACTAGGCTTCCCCCCAACATTGGGGAGCCCGCATTGGCGCTCCAGCCCTCCCATCCCCCCTCTGCGGGGCTGAAGCACACAAAATCTACTAGCCTGGGCCTCCCCTAGGCTCTGGTGTGGGAGGGGAAAGTGGGGAAAGTCTTTCTGCTTCTCCGTCGGGGGCCATGTCAGTGAGGGTTTGTTTGGTTGTCTTTTTTTTCTCTCACTTGTGTATCTAGCTCAGGGGTGGGCAATAATTTTTGGCCGGGGGCCGCTTCGGAAATTTTGGAAGTGGCCCCGGGCTGCACAGGAAGGGGCGGGACATCAAGCGGAAGGGACAGGGCCAAGATACTTCCGGGTTCTGCACCCCCCAGACAATGATTGGTCTGGGGGTGAGGGAGGGACTTTGCTCCACCCACGTTCCCCGTAGGTGCCCATGCCCCTGGCGTGGGAGGAGACTTCCCGTGCTCCCCTGCCCCTAGGCCAAATAGAGCCTGGAGGGGGGGGAATACGCAAAGCCACCTCTGCTGTCCCCCCACCCTGCGAGCAGCACATGGCATTTCAAAGCGCCACATGCTCCTGGCAGGGCAGGAGGAGGCTTCGCATGCTCCCTCGCCCCCAGGCTCAGCTCTGGCCCACGGAGGTCCTTTTGCCCACCCCTGGTCTAGCTCAACCAGAAGCCACGTACTCACTGTAGAAATCACCTAATGACATTTTCAGCCCTATGTTATACAGGAGGTCAGGGAGGCAGTATGGGCTAGTGGACTGCACTCAGACTTAGGAGAGCTGAGTCCTATTTCTGCCTCTGCCAACCGGCTTGTCAGGTGATGTTGGGCCAGTGACTTCCCCACTCCCTGACTCAGTTTCCCCATCTGTAAGATGATGGATGACAGGAGAGAGCTCACGTGATGATTACCTGTTGTGTTCCCTCCCTCTGGGGCACCTGGCACTAGCCACTGTCAGCCCTCCCTCTGGGGCTAAATTGACCTTTGGGCTGACCCAGTATGGCCATTCTTATGAGGCTCACGATCCCGACCTTGTTTGTAAAGCATCTGGTGGTGGCATGATGAACAGAGCCATAGAAGAGCTAGGGATTGTAACTAATGTAGTTCTGGCCTTAAAAGTCTATGACTGAAATTCTGGTACCTCCCAGGCAGTCAGGCCTTCATTTGCCATCCTCCTCCTTCCCAAAATTGTTTGCAGAGAGCAGCATAGAGGTGGGTCATAAAGCAAAGGAGGCACGGATTACAGAGTTTTGCAGCATGCGGCCCCTGACTAAGCACAGCACCTCTGGCCAGTCCCTTGTGCCAGCTACACTTGCTTCTGTCAGGAGTGATGGACCCAGCTGCTGCTGCCAGCTAGGAAACAGGAAGGTTGAAGGGTTGTTTTGTTTTCTACCTTCCAGTTTTACTCTTCCCATCATGTAACGTTTATTGTTTCTAAATCGTTTTTTTCTTTAATCTGATGGTTTTTGAATTGTTTTGGGGAGAGGGTGATGGAGGTTTGGGGTTTTTTTTTCCTTTAATTTTTGGTAACCACTTTTGCTAAATACAGTGCAAGGTGTATATCAGATCAACATTCTAGCACTCAGCGTTTGATCCTGATTTTATTATTTTTGAGTACAAAGCACATGAATAAAACCTTTTCCGTGGGTTTCCCATCCCTCTCGGCTTTCCTGTTTAGGCTAGTTGTGGTGTAGCAAAGAACATTACCTAAGATTTTCAAGAACGCCTAGTGATTTTGGCTGTTCTAGGATGTTAAATTTTGATTAATTAACTAATCGAATAGTTGATGGAATTTCCATTGACTAGTCAATTGGTCGATAAGGACTAGCACGGCCTTCTGCCTTTGAAATGTACAAGAGCTCCTGCGGGGGCTCTTGTACATTTCAAAGCGAAAGCGCCCACATGGAACCTGGGGCCAGCAGGGGACTGTCCCCTGCTGGCCCCAGGTTCCATGTGGGCGCTTTCGCTTTGAAATGTACAAGAGCCCCCGCAGGAGCTCTTGTACATTTCAAAGGCAGAAGGCCGTGCTAGTCCTTATCGACCAATTGACTAGTCAATGGAAATTCCATCAACTATTCGATTAGTTAATTAATCAAAATTTAACATCCTAGAACAGCCAAAATCACTAGGCGTTCTCGCTCCTGTCCCCTCCCACGGAACCGGAGTGGGGGGGAACTGGCTTTTTAGCTGGTTCCCCTCAGTGCCCCTTCCTCTTCTCCCCCCCTTTCTGCCTCTTTCTAATAGAGGCAGCAAGGGGCGGGGATGCAACTAGTCGACTATTGTGTCGACTGTCTGATAAGCTTTTGCTCATCAGATAGTCGACTAGTTGATTAGTCGCTTGCATCCCTAGGCTGTTCCCCTTGAAACACCAGGTAGGAGTTATGCTCATAGTGCATATATACAGAAGATAGAAACATAAAGTAGTCTTGGTGGAAAGGTTTAATGCAACACTATTTTATGGCATAGAATTCAGAACAATAACACACAAGACCCCCAAAGAGAGAGACACAAAGCAGGCTGCTCCTTAAGGCAGAGAGGAATAGCTCACCCATGCTTTAAGCTGGTTCTTCACTAGCTTCTCTTTTGCTGAAGAACCCCCTTGCCTGCAAGCAAACCTAGGAAAACCCTTTCACTTAAGCGACAGTTTGTCATTTCAGCAATACATCACAAAAGGGATTTAATTTTCTGAGGGTACATGCCCAGCACTGGTCTTAAAAAACCCAGTAGGCTTAGGTGGTATTTGGTAAGAGATGGGGTTGGATAAAAAATTATCATCTGAATGGCTATTGGAGGCCTGGATTAAATGCATGGGGAAGTATAGTAGGTGGATGTTTCTTGGAAGAGTGAATAGCTTGGAGAAATTGGGTAGTAATCAGAGAAGCAGAGGGAGTGGCTGTTCTCATGGCCATAAAGCAGAGGGGTGAAGTGGCTCCACAGAGAGTTTTGAAAGCCAGAAAATCTCATTCCAAACTAGAACAGGAGATGGACAGGAAACCCAGGCACATCAATGGAGGAAGGTGATGGAACAGCCCAACTTCCTGCAGGGAGAGTGCATGCCCAGCACACCATGATGAAGGCTATTAGAGATGGGATTGCAATGGGTGAGACAAGAACTGATTGTGCCAGGAATGAGGCTTTGGGCAGAGGCTGGGTTCTGGTACACTCCAGACTCAACAGGCAGCAGAGGAGGGGGGGAGAGGCATGGAAAGAGGCCAGAAGTGTAGTGTTGGAAATGAACTCCCAGTATATCTGGAGCAGGGAGGAGATAAGGAAGGTGACAGTGGAGTCAAAGATCTAGGACAAAGTGCAAGTAGGAATAAGAGATCCTCCGGAATAGGGCTTTATTCCGGAGGATCGCGCCAGTCTGGACGCTTTTCTCCGGCTTCTCTCCAAGCCGGAAAAAAGCGGCGGCCATGAAAATGAAAATGCCGCAGGGGATATTTAAATCCCCCGCGCATTTGCCTCTTCCAAAGTT